TGTGGTGATTGGAGGGGACCAATGGGTGTGTCCTTGTCTGCATCGTATAGGGGTTTGGCTAGAAGGGAAAAGTTAGGGATCCAATGTCTAAAGAACTCAACTAGTCCAAGGAATGAGAGGATTTGGTCAGTACAGGTAGGGGTTAGCAGGTCTTGTATTATTTGCTTTCTATCCAGGGTGAGTTCCCGGGTGGTGGGTGTTAGTTTAAGGCCAAGGTAAATGACAGAGGGAGTAGATAACTAGACTTTAGAGGGTGAAACTCGGTATCCCTTTTTTGCTAAGAAGTTTAAAACAGTGGTGGTGTGTGTAGTTGACTGTTCTAAGGAGGGAGTACATAGGAGAAGGTCATCAACATATTGTAAAAGAACGGATGGGGAGAGATTGCAGTCTAGTAGGTCTCTGGCCAGTGCCTGTCCGAAGTGAGTTGGACTATCCCTGAATCCTTGTGGAAGGACTGTCCATGTGAGCTGGGAGGAGGTGTGAGTGTTGGGATCTTCCCAAGTGAAGGCAAAAAGGTTGTAACACCTGGGGTCTAAGGGGATTGTGACAAAAGCATCCTTGAGATCTAAAACAGAAAAATGAGTAGTAGTAGGGGGAATATTGGAGAGTAAGGTATAGGGGTTAGGGACAACAGGATGCAGGGGAACTATGGCATTGCTAATAAGAAGAAGGTCTTGGACTAGTCGGTAGGACCCATCAGGTTTCTTTACTGATAAAATAAGGGTATTGCAGGGGGATTGGGTGGGGATGAAAAGTCCTTTAGATAAGAAGCACTGTATAAGAGGTTTCAGGCTGAGTCGGTGCATGCGAGAGATGGGAAATTGGGGTTCAGATGGAAACTGCGTGGGATCCTTTAAATTTACCATAACGGGGGTGATAAGATGCGATGGATGGGGAAGAAGTATCCCATACTCACGGATCAATAAGGTCAGGGGACATGGGAAAAGCTGGTGCTTGCAGGTAGGTAGTAGTTAGTGATAACAGGAGAGAGGTAGAGGGATTTTGTGCCCAAGTGAGAGTGGTTTTAATTTTTGAGAGGAAATCTCATCCTAAAAGGGGGGTAGGGCAGGTAGGTATAATAAGAAATGAGTGTGAGAGAATTTTGTTATTTATTAAATAGGTGATGGGGCCCATTGTTGGGGGGTTTGAGGGTTGCCCATTAATTTCCATAACAGTGACTGAGGAAGGGAAACATGGTCCCGGGAAGGAGGGTAGTACAGAACAGGTAGCCCCCATATCAATCAAAAAGGAGATTGATTTGTTTGTTACTTTGATAGTGACCCTGGGCTCAGCAAGAGTGATTGGGGTTGTTGAGTCTGGGCTCCTTCAGTCGTCAGTGGCCAGGCCCAAGATAGTCGACAGCAGGTTAGTGGATGGGGAGGATGGCCTTCCGTGCTTTGACACAGAGGGACAGTCACTCTTCCAATGTCCTTTTAAACTACATGCTGGACATGGGCTGGGGGCCGGTCGGGGCTGAGGGCAGGATGTGGCCCAGTGCCCTTCCTTACCGCACTTGAAGCAGGATTGCGGAGCCGCCAAGGAAGGAGGTCTTCTGTCACTATGTGTTGGTCTCAGGGCTGCTGGCAAGGCATTGGCCTG